TCTTTTTTCTTTCTCTCTCCCTTCCTTCCTTCCTTCCTTCCTTCCTTCCTTCCTTCCTTCCTTCCTTCCTTCCTTCCTTTTTTTTCTTCCTTTCCTCCCTCCCTCCCCCTCCTTCCCTCCCTCCCTCCCTCCCTCCCTCCCTCCCTCCCTTCCTCGCTCTCTTCTTTCCTTCTCTCATTCTCACTCTCTTTCTTTCTCCTGGTGGTGTTCAGCACTACTCCAGGCTATGTGCTTTCCGCATGCAGAGCATATATTGCAAGTACTCAAACCATTGTGCTCTGTCTCTCTGCTCTCCTGTTTTACTAATTTTATTTTATTGATTTAAGAAATGTTTTGCTCGAGCGGGCCCAGTAACGTCTCCATCGGAGACTTGGTTGTTACTGTGTCTGGCATATCGAATACTCTCGGTAGCTTGCCGGGCTCTCCGAGAGGGGCGGAGGAATCGAACTCGGGTCGGCCATGTTGGCCGCTTGTAAGGCGAACGCCCTACCCGCTGTGCTATCGCAGGGCTGGAGCGATAGCACAGCGGTAGGGTGTTCACCTTACAAGAGAGCCCGGCAAGCTACCGAGAGTATTCGATATGCCAGACACAGTAACAACCAAGTCTCCGATGGAGACGTTACTGGACCCGCTCGAGCAAATCGACGATCAACGGGAGGGCCTTTACCTTTACCTTTTTACCTAAGAAATGTTAATCAGTTCAGGTACTATCCTCCCATTGTTCATCAATAGCACTATCCTCCCATTGTTCATCAATTTACTCGAGTGGGACCCGTGACATATTCAATATGCCAAACACAGTAACAAGTCTCACAGTAATGGAGACAATACTGGACCCGCTCAAGCAAATTCAGGTACAATATAAATAGCAAATGCATAATATAGATAACAAATGGTGGGCCAAGGGGTGCAGCTCAAGTGGGAGAGTCATGCTTTATCTCTGTATATAGATGTGTATTTATAAATGGAGAAGCAATTTTTTCATTCTTTTTTGCATGGGAAGCCTCACCACTCCTATGCTATTCTTTTCTCAGTGGCTTATACTGATACTGTCATAGATCAAGTTTCTATATTTATTTTATGGTCTGTCTCTGGCCTCCCTAATCTGTTCCACTAACCTGATCATCTGTCTCTGTGTCAGTACCACACTGCTTAGTTATTATGGCCTTCAAATGGATCTAGATATTGGATAGAACAGGTCCTCCACCTTGGTATTCATATTTGGGCATAACTGTCCTTAGACTTTGCTCTTCTTTTGTTGTGGTTATTATTATAGGGACTACCTGGTTCATACCCAGTGATGCTGGCTGGGGGATATCAGGGCCTCACACTGATACTCACCTAGATACTCAAGGACAATGCAGTGCCAAGAACAAAATCGGACCCTCACACAGGCAAGCTGTGTGCTATTGAGTCACGTTCCTGGCCCTGACTTTTCACTCTTCTTTTTGTATAATAGAATCTTTTTTTTTTGTCTTGAGACTTTTTATTACATGAGAAAAAAACTCCAGAAGTTGTTCTTTAGAAATGTGATTCCATGTTACAGAATGTAAAGTAGGACATCTCAAACATGTTCTCTCAAGGAAAATTAATTTGTGTCTATAAAGAATAGAACTTTCAAAGGACAGCTTTGCAGGGTGGAGGGCCCTAGGTTGGAGATTTTTCTCTTCCAGTGCTTTGAATGTATCATTCCAACCCCTCTCTCTTATGTGGCTGCATCTGAGTGTTTTGCTGTGAGTTTTATGTTGTTTCTCTTGTATTGAGGTTTCCTTTCTCACTTACTGCTTTAAGCAGTCTGTCCTTTTGATTATTCCTCTTTCCATTACAATGTGTCTTGGTGCTGTTCTATTTAAGGTATTTTGTTTGGTAGTCTTTGGGCCTTTTGAATCTGTGCACAGGACTCCCTCAGTGATTTGGGATGCCTCTCTATCTTTCACTAGTCTTTCTTCCTCTCCCTCATTTTCCATTTCTTCCTGTATTCCTATCATTTGGAGGTTATTCCTCTTGAGATTTTCCTTTAAGTATCTTCCATTTTCTTCCATTTTTTTATAACTATTTTCTGTTGACATTTCTTTTGTGGCACTGGCTTCAAGGTCACTGACTTTTTTGTTTTAGTTTTCAAGATCACTGATAGGGTAGAATCATTTATTGTGTTCTGGTTAAAAAAAATGGGTATTTTATTGAAATAGTCATTTGGGGGAAAAAGTTTATCCTTATAAAACTGAGTCTTCAGATTCATGACTATAGTGTTTCTCTACTTGTAATTAATTATTAAATGTATTTCAATAACTTTTTATGATTGTGTATGTGTATGTATGTGTGTTGGGGGGTTGTTGACCATGCCTGGAGGTGTTCAGGGGTTTTTCTAGCTCTGTGCTCCTGGACCATGTGGTACAGGCGATCAAACTAGGATCAGCCAGATGCAGGGCAAGTACCTTAGACTTTTTATAATCTTCTTCATAAAAATATTGTAATCTGGGACACACAGAAGAATCTCAGAATCGAGCAGCTCGCTGCAGAGATGCCTCTGGACTTTAAGCCAGGCCAATTTCACAGGGGTTCCTTGGAAGGGAGTAGGCGTCATCCTTTCACTTGCCCACTATGAATCCCTGCAACTGTCAACTTTCTGAACCCAGTGAAAAGCTCAGGTACACAAGATTAGTCACAGAAAACCCCAGGTCTCAAGGAGTAGAGGATGTACCAGTCCTTTTCATCTCCCAGGCCCTATGGGACTCTGGAGGTCATGCCCTCGAACTGCCTCCAACTGCTATTTAAGCTCCTTAATGGCCAGGGAGACACAAAAGAATTTCAGAATCAAGCAGTCCACTGCAGAGATTTCTCCAGAACAACGGGAGGACAGTACTACTACAGTGCTATACAGTGTGCTTGCCTTGCATGCAACCAACCCAGATTCAATCCCTGACATTCCATATGGTCCCCAGAGCACTGCCAGAGGTAATCCCTGAGTGAAGAACCAGGAGTAACCCCTGAGCATTTTCAGGTGCGACACAAAAAGAAAAATAAAACTGTAATCTTTTATTAAATTAAGATATTGAGAAGGGTTATCAATATTAACTATTAATATTCAACAAATTACATGCTGCCCACAGTTATTCTTCCCTGTCATTCTGTGAGGACAGGCAGAGAAGACAGAGAGCAATCTCCAGCTTACCCCTCAGTATTTTCCAGGGAGGTAACTACAGGGACAACCCAGAACAGCAAGATCACTAGATAATCAATGGGGAAAACACGGGGAAGCCCACCAAGCTTAATGAGCAAGAACAATATCACTGAAGACTTAAATAACACTAGTAAATCCTCATACATGTCTTTAGTGACACTATGATGAGGATGTTCAAGGAGTTTAAAGAAATGGTAGCACAGGAAGTCAGCAAAACACAAGATAAAGGTAAAGGTAAAGGCCCTCCCGTTGATCGTCGATTTGCTCGAGCGGGCCCAGTAACGTCTCCATTGGAGACTTTGTTGTTACTGTGTCTGGCATATCCAATACTCTCGGTAGCTTGCCGGGCTCTCCGAGAGGGGCGGAGGAATCGAACTCGGGTCGGCCATGTTGGCTGTTTGTAAGGCGAACGCCCTACCCGCTGTGCTATCGCTCCAGCCCTGAAAGTATGAGAATCTATATTTTAAAAAACTGTAGTCAGAAATGACAGAAATGAAGAGCAGAGTAGGTGATATAAAAAAGTCAACAATGGGGACATTGGTGGTGTCATGAACAATCTTTTAATTGTGCATCTCACCGTAATTCAATAAAAATAAATAAATAAAAAGTCAAAAGAAGCTCTGAATATCAGAATAACATAAGCTAAGCAAGAGATTGAGGAGCTCCAAGATGAGAAGGAAACCACTAGGAAACAGCAGAAGATGCTAAATAGTTTGAAAAGAAAAGAACATCTTACCAGAGAACTATGGGATGAGTTCAAGAGGAACAATATAAGAATCATTGGAGTTCGGGGGTATGGTGCCACCAGCAGGTCAGTCTGTACCTGTGAGGTGAGTGCATCAGCAGCCTGATGGCACTGTCAGACTTTCAGATGCCCCAGAATTGCTGCTGTGCCTTTGGCCAGAACCCAAAAACTTGGGGCAAAGTTTACCAAGAAAGTAAATGGCCAAAAGTTAGGTATGTGGGAGACACACCCACAAACCACCCCCGGGCTCAGCTATATAATTGGAGGCATGGCCTCTCTGGTTCCTGATCGAACTGCTTAATGGCCATGATCACAGAGACTCAGAAACAAATATTGGAACCCAAAGGCTTTTGGCAGAAATGCACCCTGTTCCTGCAGTAGATTACTGGCGCTGGGAAACTCCAGGTAGGAATAGGTTTTGTGCCTTGGCCTGTTCCCCCTGGCGGTCAGGTGGCTGTCATTCTCCAGAGCCAACTGGACAGTCAGGTTTGGGCCTGCAGTGATGAGACAGGCAGGGCCTCACCAGATGGGGGTGGAATCGGCCCTTTCTTCCCCATCCCAACGAGACCCTGAGTCACCGCCTACAAACTGCCTCTCTGGCTCCTGATCTAGCTGATTAATGGCCATGATCCCAGAGACTCAGAAACAAATCTCAAAACCCAGCGGCTTTTGGCAGAAATGCATCTGGACTGCATACAAGGTGATGGCTACCTCAACGCTTATTGGAAAGCCAGGTATGAGCTGGCCGTGACGGGGCAACTGCAGTCTCATGGGAACTGGGGTGGTACCGGCTCATCCTTCACGCCCTACCGAGGTCATGAATTGCCCCCACAAGTGGCTCTCCGGCACAGCCATAACACCAGATGCACGAAAACCAATCTCATAATTATCTGGCTCTTTTCAGAAATCCAAAATCGCATGGACGTGATAGCCACATAATAGATCTTACTCCTGGCTCTACACTCAGAAATGACGCCTGACACAACTCAGAGGAACATACAAGGTATCATGTGCTATGTCCCATGTCTTTATCTTCCTGCATAAAGACGTATGTCCCATTTCTTTATTTTGCAGGAGCACCTTCTCCCATAATTTCCTGAGAGCAAGAACAAGCAAGGTAAATTTTCTTGGTCTTCAAGTTTCTTCTCAGGGTGTTATGATGTGCTTTTTAAAAGCTTCTACAACTTGGATCTCCTCTTGAATCTAGATGTTCATGTCTTTGTAAAAAAATTTTAATTAAACTTTAAAAAAAATTGAATCACCATGAAATACACAGTTACAAAGTTATTCATGATCGGGTTTCAGTCATACAATGTTAACAACACCTGTCATTTTGCCAGAGTATATATCCTGCCACCAATGTCCCCAGTTTCCCTCCTGACATCCCCTCCCCCAGCCTGCCTCTATGGCAGTTACTTCTCACTCTCTCTCTCTCTCTCTCTATCTTTCTCTCTCTCTCTCTCTCTCTCTCTCTCTCTCTCTCTCATTCTCTTTCCTTTTGGGCATTAAGATTTGCAATACAGGTACTGAAAGGTTATCATGTAAGATTTACCTGCTTTACACACTCAGCTCTTGTCCAGAGTGATCATTTCCAATTATCATTGTCATAGTGGTCCCTTCTCTATCCTAACTGCCCTCCCCACCTACCACTTGTGGCAAGCTTTCAACCATGGACCCAGTCCTCCTGTTCCTTATTTCTATTGTCCTTGGGTATTATTAGTCTCATGCTGTGTTTTTTATATATATCACAAATGAATGCAGTTTTTCTATGCCTGTCCCTCTCCTCTCTGACTCATTTCATTCAATATGATACTCTCCATGCCCATCCATTTATAAGCGAATTTTATGACTTCGTTTTTCCTGGAAGCTGCATAGTATTCCATTGTGTAGGTGTATCATAGTTTCTTTATCTAGTCATCTGTTTTTGGGCACTTAGGTTGTTTCTAGATTCTGGCTATTGTGAATAATGCTGAAATGAACAGAGAAGTGCTGATGGATTTTTTGCATTGTGTTTTTGGATCCCCGGGGTTTATTCCCAGAACTGGTATTGCTGGTCATATGAAAGCTCAGTTTCTAGGTTTTTGAGGAGTGCTAATATTGTTTTCAAAAAAGGCTGAATCAGTCGGCATTCTCACCAACAGTGAATGAGTCCTTTTCTCCCCACATCTGCATCAGCTCTGGTTGTTCTTTTTCTTTTTGATGTGTTCCAGTCTCTGTGGTGTGAGATGATACCTCATTGTTGTTTTGATTTGCATCTTTCTGATGATTAGTGATGTAGAGAAGTTTTTCATGTGTCTTTTGGCCATTTGTATTTCTTATTTTATTATTATTATTATTATTATTATTATTATTATTCAGCACAGTATTTCAGTACTGGCCTTTTAATTTTTAAAAATTTTTCATAAAGTTGTTCACAATCATTGATTACATTCAATATTTCAACACCAATCCTACTACCATTACACCTTTCCACCACCATTATTTCGAATTTTCCCACCACCACTTAAGCCTGCCCTATAGGCAGATGTTAGAAAATCTATTTTGTACTGCTTGTTATAAATAGCATGAGATATTGCATGGCTGTGCACTTCTGGAATTCTAAAATTTCAAATCATTAGGGTTCGGAGATATCTCTGCAATGAGCTGCTCTGTTCTGAGATTCATTTGTGAGTTGCTGGATCATGGCCGTTCATGCAATTAAACGGCACTTGGAGGCAGTTCATGGGCATGACAGCAAGGACCCAATAGGGGCGGGGAGATGGGAAGGAATGGCCTGTCCCCGGTCCCTTGAGGCCTGGAGTTTGCAGTCACTGGTCCAGCATACCTGTTTTTTTTCATTGGGTTCTTGAGGTTTGTGGCTGCTGGGATTCATATGGGGCAGGGGAGGGACAATGCCTGCTCCCGTCTGAGGTAGCACCGTAGCACTGTCCTGTAGCACTGATCTCGCAGTGTTCACTAGTTTGCTCGAGCAGGAACCAGTAACTTCTCCATTGTGAGACTTGTTACTGTTTTTGGCATATTGAATACGCCATGGGGAGCTTGCCAGGCTCTGCTGTGCGGGAGGGATACTCTTGGTAGCTTGCTGGGCTCTCCGAGAGGGGCGGAGAAATCAAACCCAGGTCGGTTGCATGGAAGGCAAATGCCCTACCTGCTGTACTATTGCTCCAGCCCGCCTCCCCCTCCCCCATCGAGGTACCCAGGGGAATTGGCCTGGTGTGAGGTCTGGACCATCTCTGGACGAGCTGTTCCATTCCAAGATTCATTTGTGACTCTATTCTTGTCTTTTTTAATTTCTGAATAACTGTTAGCTACATATCTTTGAATATTGCCTCTCTTCATTCTCCTTATTCTTGCCTTTTAGGACTCAGGCTTGATGCTTGGAGTTTTTTAATGTTAATCTCAGATTAAATCCCTTTAATTCTCTCTCATGTTTTTTCAGTCTCACTCTCTCTCTCTCTCTCTCTCTCTCTCTCTCTCTCTCTGTCTCTCTGAACTTTTTCAGATTTCTTTATCCCTTTACTATACCCTTTTCCTCAATGTCTATTTACCTTATCTTTTCTAATTTTAATTTCAAAGACTAAAATATTAATTTCTCTAGGTTCTACTTGGTACATTAACTATAATATATAATATATTTATATATAATAATATATATTTATATATCCCACCCCCATTAAGTAATGCTTTTTCTTTTCCTGTGTATTTGGTAGCCTCAGTCTGATAGTTTGGCTCACTGATGTCCTGAATCCAGCGCTGCTCCCTGTCCCTAAGGAAGCTCACACAGTGGAACACAGGGGGTTCTGGATTTTAAAGTCATGTCCAGCATAGTATTATCTGTTGAATCCCATATGGCCTAGATTCAGGATGAATTCACTACTGCAGACATCTGGTTTGTCCTCTGGGCACTCAGAGTAGCATTAGTCCAGAATGACTCTTTTTGTTGTCAGACCTCTTGGGTGGTATAAATTTAAACTGCAACCCAAGTGAGAACTTTCAGGAACACATTTTGTTCTTACACAGGGCCCATGCCACAGTGTAATTTTGTACCATCTCTGGGGTGAGGGAACTATTTTTTCTGATGCCCTTTCACCTGGGACTGCTGTCCATGAAGGTCTTTCCTGTTCTTGCCTGGTACTAGAGCTCCTTCACCAAACTCAGAGCTCACTGCCTCCCCGCTGGGTGTCCTTTTCCAGACAGCAACTGGGCTGCCCACACACAGTGTCCTCCCCCATACAGCAGCTCAGCTGCCCACCCTCAGTGCCCTCCCCCATACAGCAGTTCAGCTGCCCATTTGGGCTCCATCCTGTCTGCTGGGAGACGGCATGGTGGGGGCAGGGGACCTGCTGACTTCCTTTACTCTCTTGCTAGCCCCACAAGGCAGGAAAAAGTAAAAATTTTTTTTTCATATGGAAGTTTTGGGAAGCACAAGAGAGGCCATAGAGAGACAATGCAACAATGCGCAATGGAGAGAGGTCCTTCCGGAAACCAGCAGGGTGCAAGGACAGGAAGTGACCATGAGGTCAGCAGAAGCTTGGGACTCTCTTCCCCAGAGTGTCTGTGATGAGGCGAGAGAGCCACAAGGGAGGTGTCGGTCTCAGCTCAGAGGCCATCATCCAGGCTTTCCTTCTGGAAGTTTCCATTGAGAGTTTGTTCCAGTGGCAATGAGTAGGAGAGGGGTTTGGGTTTGGAAGGATGACCCCCACAGGAGGTGGAAATCACCCGGGGTGATGGATGATCTGAACTGGGTCGCTGAGGTGAGATGCCCTTTGAGAGAGAGGGCTTGAGAGAAAACAGAGAAATCTAGGGCAAGAGCCGGGTCAGAAATGCTAAGCAAGCACGTGATCTGGATCTTGGAAAATCAATGAAAGTGTCCCCTGTACTGAGCCGTGTTTTCCCTTTTCATGTTGCCCAGCGACTGCTCACCGATGCTGACGCAGTTCATCTGGACTCTGCAGCGAAGGATGGCGTTTGGGGACCGGCTGCTGAGTGGGCGTCTTTGGATAAGACACCGCATGTCCCCACGGAGTTCCTGGAAATAAGTTGGATGTGTTTGACTCTCCAGAACTGGCCGCCATGACTGAGGAGGGGGAGCAGACACCCTCCTCCAGGCCCGGGAGCCCGGACAAGGAAGGTCAGGTCCAAGAGGAGAAGTGGATGCTGCATCAGAGACTGGCGGTTCGCGAGCTCATCGACACAGAGGTCTCCTATCTGCGCATGCTCCAGCTGTGCGCCTCTGACATTAGGGGCCGCCTGCAACAGGTACCTGAACGGAGCTACCATCGCCTATGTGACCGGAGCAGATGTGGGTCCTCGCTTCTGGACCTGACCTCTGTCCTGGGTGGACTTGAGAGACGGGGATGCCAGGTTGTGAGTGACCTCTGACTGGCCCCAGGAGTCCTTGGATTCACTTTCTGACTGTGCATCTTCAAGTAGCACTTTCAAGTGCTTTTTGGAGCCTCGTGCATTCATTCATTCGCTTAGGGGCAGAGAGTGAGTGGAGGATGGGTAAAGTGCCCTTTATCGTGTGTAGCGGGTTATATAGGCTAAAACTGACCTATATTCTAATGGTCTCATTTCAAGGGGGATGGCAGGGAGAAGTTATTATCACTTTGATAGGATTCTATCTTAGTGTTCATTTTTTTTACACCTCCCTCCCACCCCTACCTGACCTGATTTCAGAAATAACCAGGCTCAGTCTATAAAATACCAGGTATCCCCTAGCTTGTGAGCTCTCTAAGGACACTGGTAAGTTCAGTATATTCAGTGCCTGACTAACAGTGGACTTCCAAGTCACATTTCTTGAATGGAGTACAGGAAGTGAAGTAAAGAAGATAAGATAGAGGTAGAAATCCTATTTTACCCTTCAAAGGTTAGATTTTTTTAAATGCCTGTAGGCATGAGGGACTGGAGCAATAGCACAGCGGGTAGGGTGTTTGCCTTGCACGGCCGACCTGGGTTCGATTCCCAGCATCCCATATGGTCCCTTGAGCACCGCCAGGGGTAATTCCTGAGCACAGAGCCAGGAGGAACCCCTGTGCATCGCCGGGTATGACCCAAAAAGAAAAAAACAAAAAACAAAAAACCTGTAGGCATTAAATAGATAGTCTTCTTTTTTAAAAAACAAAAATGAAAGAATACTCCTTTGCTCTCCATGAGGCTGTTCCCACTAGTCCTGCATCCAGGGGTGGTGGTAGTGTATGTCTCTTGCTAGAGTGTGCCAGTGCTCACAAACAGCTGGCTTCTATCCTTTTTAACAGTGGGATAGCCTCGTTAGTGGAGCCAGAGATCAGAATACATCTGAAGGTAATTCTTGTTGGTGGCATGTATGTCAAAGCTGGAAAAAAGTTCAACTTCACACCCTAATATGACAGATGGGGAAACTGAGAGAAGAAAACGATTGCCAGCAGCTAGTTTAGCTTTCTGCTGTGTCTGGTGCATGCTTGCTCCTCCTCTCCTATAGACTAATAAAGACATGTGGTTGGTAAAATTTCAAAATTCTTGAAAACATCCCCCCAATTCCTCGGACTTCCAGAAGTCTCGGCAGTCACACTCACATCGCACAACTTCCTCTTTTAAGCTCATCTACCAGCCCTGTTCCAGAGACTCATACATAAGTTGCAAAAGATCAACCAGCTGCAAAAATTACTCAGATACCCAGTCCTGGCTGAGACCTCCAGGGAGATCTATGGAGGGGATCGAGATAGGTTTCTGCCCTACCAAAGCCCCTGTAACCACACTCACACCCCAACAGCTGCCACCATGGCTCCGGCCGGACTGCCCAGTTAAATATTCTGGATTTTCTGCATTCATCTCCGAACTCTGTAATACTGACATCCCAGTAGGAGCATATTAGACTGGATGGGAATATAATATCAAAGCCAACTTATCTAGACTAACAGAAATATTAACACAGAATGCTTAACTTGCAACAAACTCTCAGACAAACTCTCAGACAGAGACTTAACATCCCCATGGTGAGATTCAATTTTCAATTTTTTCTTTTTTTTTTTAGCAAGTAATCACCTTTATTGAAATACATAAATACACTGGAAGATCACTTTTTCAGGGGCTTACATGTCACATCCATAAATTTAGAAAGAGCATAACAAAAATGGGTGCTTCTTTGCACAGCTGACTTGGGTTTAATAACTGATATCCCATGTAGTCTCAAGTACAGCCAAGAGAGATTCCTGAGAACTGATGAGTGTAACCCCCCTCCACCCCCACCACCACCACTGAAAAGTAGGCAGAAAAATCCACCCCCACAAGCAAAGGTCTGCCTAAGAATCAGACACTATTATTCTCTGGTTCCCCAGTGCTAAACATTCAGTATCCCATAATTCCTTAGACAGGTCCACAGGAATAAAGACCCGTCACTCCACTTAGTCACAGGGCTAAAGCTGAACTCGGAATCTCAAAATGATTAAACTCCAGTGTAATTCTTTGAAATGAATTTATCCTTTAATTTTACCTTTCTGTCAAATTAAGAAACCAAAAGTTAGGAATCAACTGACAATGTGAAGAGTTGGATCCTCTTCTCTCCTGAAAACAAGAAAAGAAATTCAGACTCCTTCACTCTCCCCTTTGAAAAAAATAGCATTAACAGAGATGTTTACTGTTTCCTACATGGTTGATCTCCCCAGTCGTGGTCCAGAGGTCTCTGAGAGGCTGCAGGAACAAGCAGGTGCAGACTCAAGGCCCGGCTTGATCTCCAGTGGGGTGGAAAGGGATGGTACATCACAGGACAAGGTCCTATGCTCCTCTATGCCACACAGAGTTTCCTTTACTAAAGTATTTTTCAAAAATTATTTCATTAGCCATTTTGCGATAACAAGCAATATAAAATAAATTATTGTGGGCCTGCTATGGCGGCACGCTGGAGGAGTGGTTGGGAAAATGGAGACTGTGGTGGAGGAAAGATGATGGCGGTGGTGGGATTGGTGTTGGAGTATTGAATGCCTGTAACAAATCATTATGATTAACCTTGTAAACCATGGTGTTTAAACAAAGGGGGGAAATTCTTGCAAGCATTCCTCTGGAGCAGCCTTCCTCATAGTGGTAGGAGCCCCAGTGGACCGCTCCCCACGCCAGTCAATAAAGTCACTGGTTGAGTTCCTGGTAACCATGGTGGCTTCTCTGTTCCTCCAGCTGCCGCAACATGATCTGGATGTCCTGTTCTCCAACGTAGATGAGATCATCAAGGTGAATAGCAGGCTTCTTCATCGTCTGCAGGAGGAGACCACTGCCACCGAGGAAGAGCAAGTGCATTTAATTGGTAAGCCAGAGGCTGGTCAGTCCTCAGTCTGGGACTGCTGGGCTTGGGGCTGGCATGTGGCTCAGTAGTGGCAGGGTGTTTGCTCTACATAGGTGAGGCCCTGAGTTCAATTTCTGGCACCAAAAAAAAAAAATTTTTTTTTTTGGACTTGTCTTCAACCTGTGGCCATTGCTGAATGGAGTTCAAAGAGCGCAGGGCACTGCCTCACTAGGACAGTGTAGCTCAGTGAGTGTGTTTGGGGACCCATAGCACGTAACAGCAGGTTGGACACTGAGATAAAATCTATAGTTTACAGGTGGAGAGATGGAGGCCCGGAGACATTGCTCTTCTGGACCCAGACTTACTTAGTGGCCTGGCTCAGTCAACTCTGGCCTCTTTCTTTAGAGTTTCAGTTGGAGATTCCCAGCTTCTGTTTCCATGCAGGTGACAAGTTAGTGAGAGAAGATAAACAAGGGAAATTTAGGGAGTAGTATGTAATTTGAAGGAATGAGAGAAATGGTGGTAATTTTTCAGGTGTGAGGAGGACTTCCTGCAGAAGGGATATTGGAGCTGAAAAACATGTTTTTAGAAGTAGCAGTGAAAATGGCAATGCAAAGGCTAGAGGCTGGGATTAATCTGGAATGTGTGAGGGACAGAGAGGAAAAAAAGGCAGGTCTCCCTAGAGGAGAGTCAGGCACGGCAATATCATGCTTTATAAGAAATCACATATGATACATGCATGGACACTTTCAGACACACATCCATGTCCATTAATACATATGTGAGCTTCATCTAGTTTTTGCCTGGCAGCTATCCAAACTCTTGCAACTCTCGAAATGCTAAGAGTGACAAAGGTGCATTTTGATAGGTGACCTGAGATAGCTCCTGGGAAGTACCAGAAGTACCTGAAAAGTGCTGGTAGCCTGGCCCAGTTTCCCCCCCCCCCCCACCCAAGTAGGGGCCACCTCTAGCAGTGCTCAGGAGACCCAGGGTCCTCCTACAGCTACTCATCCCAGTATTGTGGGCCTGTTGTTTGTTCCAGGGTTGGGTCTTCCAGTCCCACCTCCAGACTTATGGGGAGGGGAGAGACAGTGAAGGTGAAATCAATGATCAATAACCCCAAGTTAAAGTTAACTAGTCTTCCTAAGGAATCTCCATAAAAACCAAGTGAAATGCAAGGGCTGGGGGTGTGGCTCAGTGGGAGAGCGTTTGTCTCATAGGTAGGAGGCCCTGAGTTTGACCCCTTCACCCTGAAAAATAGTCCAAGGGGCACTCTTTGTTCCTGGTTGGTAAGCACTGAGGCTGGCCGTGGAAGCCTGTGCCCTGTTGCCTTGCTTCTGTGTCTGTTTTCAGTCCATGCCTGAAGTAGATTCTGCAATAAATTAGTGATCTCATAAGTAAATGGATTTCTGAGCTCGGTGAGCTGCAAGTTAATCAAACCCGAGGGGGGTGTCACTAGGAAACTGGGCTGGACAGAAGCCAGCCTCTGAAGGAGAAGGCTGTCTGGAGACACAGGAGCAATCCCCATGGATGCAGGGCTGACTCTGGGTGGCACTGAGCTGGCCTGAGAATTGCTGGTTTGTGGTGGGGAAGCCTACTGCCCCCCACCGCCCCCCGACACTCATGCTGCAGGTGGTATAGGGGACCTTTTCATGGATAAAAGAAGAGGCCAAAGAGAAGAGCTGGATTTGCAGGAAGGACTAGGCTATGCAATTGTGGTGAGAAGCCATCAGAATTTCTGGATAGTGGGCTACATCCTGCAGTGCTCAGGGGCTATTCCGGACTCTGTGCTCAGGAAGACCATGTGTTGCTAATGATTGAGCAGGGGTCCCCGTGAATGCAAGGCAGGCACCTTAACTCTTTTTTTTTCTTTTTGAGTCAAACCCAGAAGTGCACAGCGGATACCCCTGGCTCTGCACTCAGGAGTTACTCCTGGTAGTGATCAGGGGACCGTATGGGATGCTGGAGATGGAACCCGGGTCGGTTGCGTGTAAGGCAAACGCCCCTCCCCACTGTGCTATTACTCCAGCCCCACACCTTAACTCTTAAACTCTCTCTGGGCCCTTTTTTTAAAGTAGGGGCCACCACTAGCAGTGCTCAGGAGGCCCAGGGCCACTCCTAATCCTACTCACACCAGTACTGTGGGCCTGATGTTTGAGCTTGGACTCATCAATGCTTCCAGGGCCTTACTTAGTGGTGTGAGGTGGTGGTGTGGGCAGGGGGGTGGGGAGAAAGATCTGCAGTATTGGAGATTGAACTCCGGTCTTAACATTCTCTCTGCCCCCTACTATGGCTTTGAGTAGGTGATGGTACTCTGAGTTTGAGCAGGTAGTAGAGTCAGCCGGACTTCCTGTGGTCTGGGGCTCCTCCCCAGCCTTATTAAGGTGAAAGGAGTTCTCTTCCCTTCTCCCTGCATTCCATTGTTTGGATGTGGCATTGTTATTTTTGTTGCTTCCAAATGTTGGCAGTTAGAGGATGTGAGGGGGATCTGCACTGACGGCCAGGGTGGACTCAGCTGATCTGGCCTGCGGGACTTGTCCCTGACCTCCCTTGGTTTTCCATGTGACTCCTTCCCGGAGCTGCATGCTCTCCCAAGTGGAGCCTTTCCCCAGTAGAGAAAATTTCTCTATGTGAGGGTATGTGAGTGGTTGCACTCTCCTGCTCGAACCTCCAAACAAGCTTCCAAGTTTGGGCAGTTATAAATAAAGTGGTCGTGAAAACTGTGTGCAGATTCTTAGTCTGAAAAAAAAAAGATCATTTTAAACATTGTGGTAAAATATACATAAGGGATCAAACTTAACATTGTAACTATTTTTTGGAGGGGTGTTTTTTGTTTTAGGGTCACACTTGGCAGTGCTCAGAGCTTACACCTGCCTCTGCACTCAGGGATTGCTCCTGATGGGTTTGGGGGCCATAATGGGATACCAGGGATCGAACCGGGTTCGGCCACATGCAGGGCAAGCACCCAACCTGCTGTACTGTCATGCCGGCCCCAATATTGTAGCTATTTTTAAGTGTGTAGTTCAGTGGTACCAGGAGTGTTTGTATTGCAACCTCTCTCTATTTTGAGAACTTTTTCCTCCTCCAAATTGAGACTCTGTCCTGTGACACCCCTGCTGTTTTCATCTCTGGTTTTGACTCCCCGAGAATTCTCGTGCATGTATAGTCACACAGTTGTCCTTTTCTGACTTCCAGGTTCTTTTTAGGTTATGCTATTTTGGAGGGAGAGGTCACACCCAGCTGTTCTCAGGGGCTACCGTCTGGCAGTAGTGGGGGACCAGGTGGTGCCACGGATGGAAGCCAGGACTCCCATATGCAAATATGCACACCAGTATTTTGAACTATTTCCCAGTCCCTTCAAAATTCTCTTTCTGCTAGAAATAGCCTTAGACTGAGAGGAACTTTGCAGAAATGATCTAGCAAGCACTTCTCATCCTGCCTCCCTTAATTTTTTTTAATGTATTGAATCACTGTGAGATAGACCTTTACAAAGCTGTTCATGATTGAGTTTCAGTCATACAATGTTCCTACACCTACCCCTCCACCAGTGTACATTTCCCACACCAATGTCCTCAGTTTCCCTCCCACCACCCTCTCTCTCTACCACCCCCAGCCTGACTCTATGGCAGGCACTTTTCTTCTTTCTCTGTCTCTCTCCTTTTGAGCATTGTGGGTTTTTTGTTCCTTTACCTACTTTTGGCACACAGATCTCGTCCAGAATGATCATTTCTAACTATCATTGTCCCTGTCATCCCTTCTCTATCCCAACTGTCTTCTCCCTCAGCACTTGAGGCAGGTTGCCAATCGTGGACCAATAAATCGTTATATCTCACCATGGAGACATTCAGTTCTTGTGTGAGAGATGACTAAGATGTTGTTACAGGCTAAGCCTTCTGTGTTTGTGCCTTGTTCATCTAGGTTGGTTGCTTTTCCCAATTTGCTTGCTGCTACTGGTTTATCAGTGGTGTAGCATTTGAGATGCCAGGAAGTTCAGTATTTTTATGGGAAAGATACAGATGGAATACTTTTTTTTTTTTTAACTGGGTGGCAGCTTTGGGGTGTGGACGTGACTGTCAGGGCTTCCAGAAGTACAGAGGAGTGGGGGAGCCTCTCTTAATTTTAACACCCTACATATGCATAGTGCAAAGATTGAAATCAGGAAAACCTCACCAGCAAACATGGTCATGGCTACAGCCCTACTTGAGTTCTCTGAGCGATCCTTCCCATTTTCTGCTCTTGGATCCAGTCTAAGACCCACATTTCTCTTGACTGTCTTGCTCCCGGGGGATCCTAAGTATCTGCCTTCAGTGATAACTGCATCTCTGAAGAGTTTAGGTTTGTAGGTTGGTTCCTCAATCTGAAGTTTTCATCGATTAAAGTGAAAATTATTTTGTGTGCTTTTTATAAAAGTTTGCATACAAAAACCTACATTTATAAATTTAATGCTACAAAAGGAAAGTTTTAGCTATTATAGAATGTATACAGGGCTGGAGTGTTAGTACAATGGGTACGGTATATGCCTTGCATGTGGCCAACCCGGGTTCGATCCCCAGCTTCCCATATGGTGACTCGAACACTGCCAGGAGTGATTCCTGAGTGCAGAGCCAGGACACCCTGAGCATTACAGAGTATGACCCAAAAAGCAAAAACAAACAAAACTGTATACAGTGAAAAGTGTTCTCATGCCCTCAGGCTCAGGATAAGTGGACATTGATTAACACACGTGTAGACGGCACAGCACTGTCTTTAAGGATTTTCTTTTCTAAAGTTGCCATTTCCCCCTGTGTAATTAATAAATACCTTGTGGACATATGTGCCATTTCTTCTCAAACTTTAACCTTCTAATTTTAGCATCCATTGAGAATGGTTCTTTGTTTTTGTTGTTGTTGTTTTTTAATTTTTTTTTATTAGTGAAATACCATGAGGTACAGTTGTAGACTTACAAACTTTTGTGCTTGGGTTTCAGTTATACAATGATCAAATACCCATGCCTTCACCAGTGCCCACTCTCCACCACCAATGAACCCAGTAGCCCTCCCACCCCCCACCCCATGCCCCCCACCCCACCCCACCTCTGTGGCAGGGCATTTCCGTTTGTTCTCTCTTTCCTTTAGGGTGTTGTGGTTTGTAATAGAGGTGTGAGTGGGCCATCGTGTTCTGTCTATAGTCTACTTTCAGCACGCATCTCACATTCCGAGCGAGTCCTCCAAACACCCTTTACTTGGTGTTCCCTTCTCTGTCTGAGTTGCCTTTCTCCCAGCGTCTGCTGCCGGCTTCCAAGCCTTGGAGCAGACCTCCTGGTTCTTATCACAACCATTCTTGGGTGTTCATCTCCCATGATATTACTTTATAAGAATGGCTCTTTGAGTTTGTAGGTTTGTTGGTTTCTTGATTGAACCAGGACCTCAGGCAGGCATGGAAAGAATGTGCTCTACCACTGAGCCACAATGACTTTCTCGCTTCCCGCCCCCCCCCCAATATCCCCTTCACTCCACTTTATCGTTCTTATTCACATGTCCTAATGGTAACTTCCCATCTCCCGTATTCCTTTATATTTATTAACTGGAATTCTAAAAGAAGATGTATTGTGTTTGTAAACTGTAAAGCAATGTACAAATATGAGAAGTATCATTGCTATCGGTATTATTATCATTTATAAAGTGCGCACAGCATGGTAGGCTGAGTATGCTTCATCATTCTGCCTCCTAATCCTCATGGCTTTTTATCCACTGAAATGCGAAATTCCAGAAACCCAAAGTGACCAGGTGATTCTTCCTGATCCTGCCTGCCTGTCCCAACAAGGGCTTAACAGATTGGTCTTTGAGAACTTTTGTTGCTTCTTCACTGTCAGGTAACTTATTCCTGGAATTCCAAGAGGATCTGGAGCGAGTCTATAAGGTTTACTGTGCCAACTATGACCAGGCTTTGCTGCTGGTGGAGTCTTACCGGAAGGATCCAGAGCTGCATCGGGAGATCCAGGATGCCATTGAGGCTGCTGTGTGAGTGGAATGAGCAGTGCGTGCCCATCCCTGCTGCCTCTGACATGGGGGTCAGGATTTCTCAGGCTTTTCCCCTTGGTTCAGACATGCTACTTCAAGCTAGGCTGGGCTACAGGGGCCACTGGCTCCTAACTCTTGGTGGCTTCAAAAACAGAGGCCCAGACCTTTCATTATTCCCATCCAAATATTCTTCAGGTTATAGACAGATAGGAAATAGGCTTTCTATGGGAATAGGTGGATGGATGGATGGATGGATGGATGGATAGATGGATGGATGGATGGATGGGAAAGAGGGAAAAAGGAAGGAAGGAAGAAAGGAGGGAGGAAGGAAGAGATGGAGGGAGGGAGGGAGGGAGGGAGGGAAAGAGGAAGGGAGGGAGGGAGGGAAGGAGGGAGAGTCCTATGAGCAAGAGGGAGGGAGGACTTGTTAAGGAGTTCTTATTCTACAGGCTTCTCTAGAACCTGCTCTTCTATTTAACCATAGTTATGACTATCTTTTCCTGACAGTCTAGATAATTTTACCATATATTTTAAAATGACAGCACAGAACTTCTTTCCAGGACAGCTCATAAACTGTTTCATTAATCACTCTCCTACTGAGGCAATATTGGCCTTGTTCATATATATGTATATATATGTGTGTGTATATATATGTATATGTATGTATATATATATATATATTTCCCCTGTATAGGTGCTGTATAATTTAGAGATCCTGTGGAGATGCTGTATAAAGTAGAGTGCTGGGTAATTTCTACATTTAGCCTTGCTCACTGGAGTTGACATAGAGTAGTACTGATGAATGAAGTGTTCAGACACTTCCCAGATTGCCAAACTGCTTTTCAAAAGGATCTCCTCCCCATGGGCTGGAGTGATATGATAGCACAGTGGGTAGGGCATTTGCCTTGCACGCAGCCAACATGGCTGACCTGAGTTCGATTCCTCCGCCCCTCTTGGAGAGCCTGGCAAGCTACCAAGAGTATCTCGCCCTCACGGCAAAGCCTGGCAAGCTACCCGTGATGTATTCGATATGCCAAACATAGTAACATGTCTCACAATGCTGCTGGGCCTGCTCAAGCAAATCGATGAACAACGGGAGGACCAGGACCGTGACTGTGACCTCCTCCCCATGGATACATGTACCGAGAGGACGAGGACTCGTTTCCCCACTGCCGTCCTGATCTTCACTATCTCTTTGAGTAACAGCAGATAGAGTAAATGTAAGAGATTGCTGTCACCCTTTAGAATTGTTTTATTATGGAAGTCGCCTTGACTCAAGATGTTAGGTCCCAGAGGTACAAGAGTAGAATTTGACATCTAAACATATTTGATAGTGCCACAGTCTAGGTTTGTCTACTGTCTCACAAGAGACCCCATTTACCTGGTTTGCCTGCACCTCCCCCCCCCCCATCACCTTATCCTCTGGCAATCACTGTTCTGTTGCTATCAGAAAGGGAGAATTTTTGTTTTGCTCATTCATCTTCTTAGTTCCTTTATTTTCCACATACGAGTGAAACCAAGCAGCCTTTGTCCCTCTCGAGTGCTTCTGGGGTGTCTCCTGATGGCTGTGGAGAGGGCTTCACTTGTTTCTTTGCAGACCCTCTCCTTCTGACTTGTGATGCTCCACATGAAGTAAGTCCAGAGGACACAGTTTGGTAACATCTGCCACAGCTACCACCTCCCCTGCCCTGTAAGCCCTTGGTCAGAGCAGATGGCCCATGTGGGTGTGCGTTGACAGGTGACTCACGTGCCCCAGAGCCAATGAAAGGCTCCCACCTGCTCTGCCTGTCCTCAGCTTCATGGACATTTGGGCTGGACAGTTTTCCCAAGGACGAAGAGCAAGAAGCATGAAAGGGGCAAGTGAGCAGAATGTGAGGGTCCTCGGGACAAGGCATGTTTGAATATTGAGTTTTGAAACTGCCCTGGGCAGGTCTAAGGGCTTCTGGTTGGGATCAAGGAAAGATTATTGGAGCCTCTTCCTAGTCGTGGGGCATTTCTTGTGTTCTGTTTTGGTCGGCAGCTCCCATGCAGTGCCAGGCAGCCTTGGTGCCATTCCTGGTGAATCTCAGCCAAATGGGACAGGAGTTCAGTTCTAGGGCCCAAGGGTGTGTTGCTGCTTGGGCCCCGTCGTGCCAGGGATCACTTGGACCAACCCAGTGGTATTGGATTGGGGGCCACCAGGGCTCCATGTGGTAGTGCTCAAGGAATGTATGCTAAGTACTAGGGATGGAATCCATGTTGAAAGATCCCCTTATTCTCTCCTTATTCTCTCCCTCTAGTCCTGACTCGAGGAGAGTTTTGGCTAATTCCAGACATCAGCAAGAAGGGGCTAGAAACAGGCCATCTATGACTAAAATAATGCATCCGGGAGGGATCTGGACACGATTCATTACTGAGTTTTGCTTTACTTATCACTGTCTTTTATTGAATTTGTCAAACCTGCAAAAAAATATAACCATGTAGTGAATATTATGTTCATGTTTGTTGTTTGCTCCCTGTAGGGTTTTGTTTGTTTGGTATTTCGTTTGTTTTTATTTTAGGGTCACACCTGGTGATGCTCAGGGGTTATTCCTAGCTCTGCACTCAGGAATCACTTCTAGTGGGACTTAGGGGACATGTGGTACCAGAAATCATACCCGGGTTGTCCACATGCAAGGCAAAGGCCCTACCTGATGTATTATCACTCTGGTTCCTCATCCCATTTTTTAAAACCCATGCCCAGGAACTGGGGGTCACTCCTGGCTGAGCTTGGCTGCGCAATCAGCAATATGTGGGCTGGTAGTGCTCAGGAATGAAGGAGAGACTATGTCCAGAGGTTCCCTGGGGGGCTGTGTGTCCATGTGGTATCAGGGGTTGAACTTGGGGCCTTGCATCTGTGAAGCACATGCTCTACCACTGAGCTTTCTCTCCAACCCTGTTTCAGCAGACTCTAGGTATTATGCCTTTTCCCTCTTACACAGTATCCAAACATTAAATTCTGAATCACATTAACTTCCTGTGATTTCAGGTTTCCCTTCTCTGAGGCAGTAGAGCTATTTTGCTGTCCCTCTGTGGGACTTCGCCCGTTAGAGACTGCTGTGGGAGTCTGGGGCTCTGACAGGAGTTGCGAGTGGAGGTCTTGGTTCTGGAATATTTGAATCAGTCAGTGAGAGAGTGACAGAGAGGAGGAGACAGGCACTGGAAGGAGGCCAGCGGGAGGCCCAGGGAGCATGGAGCAGAAGGAAGGGCATCTCTGGAGGCCAAAGAATGTGTTTGGGGAAGGTGGGGGTGGTCAGTGGCATCTGTTATTGGAGACCCAGCACAATGCAGGCGGGGAACTCACCACCGGATCTGGAACAGATGGGGTGCCTAGGACCTGCAAGGGGGGTGATGACCAGTAGGACTTGGTCTAATGACCTCAGAGTCTCTGCTTGAGGAAACCCAAGGTCACCAGCAGAGGGTGACTTGCCTGCCAGGGTGCTATGTCTTGGAGGAGAGCCCAGAGGCTCTGGGGCCAGAGGGGGTGCCACCCACCTAATGCCAGTCTTTTCCCTCAGGCCACACGCTGGACCCTCGGGCCTCAGTTTCTTATTGGTAATCCCTCTGCAGAGGATTACCAAGTACCCACTGCTGCTGCAGAAAATCCTGGAGAGCACCCTCCCTGAGGCCAGTGCCTACCCTGTCCTGCAGAGGGCTTCTTCTGCCCTCCAGGACCTGAACACCAACATCAATGAGTACAAGAGGCGCAAGGAAGTGGGTAAGGCCTTGGGCATCTGCGTGCCATGCTTCTCCTCCCTACCTGCTTCCCCAGTGGCTCACACACTACAACTTCAGCGGCAATGTGGGTTGTAGGAAGGATTGACTCAGGATTCTGGCTCCATTTTCCTGGCATTCTTGGTTCGTATTCTTATTATTTGTCTGTTTGGGGGCTATATCTGGCAGTGCTTGGAGCCTATTCTTGGCTCTATGCTTATAGATCACTCCTGATGGTGCTCAAGGGATCATATAGGATGTCAGGATTGAACTGGGTTCAGCCGCATGTAAGGCAGATGACCTCCCGCTGTGCTATATCTCTCTGTCCACTTCCCTGAAATTCTTCTGTCTCTTCTCTTTACTCGGTGTCAGGTCAGTTTCTCTCTCTCTCTCTCTCTCTCTCTCTCTCTCTCTCTCTCTCTCTTTCTTTTTTTTTGGGGGGGGAGCCACACCTGACTGTGCTCAGGGCTAACTCCTGACTCTGCCCTCAGGGATCACTTCTAGTGGGGCTCGGTGGACCATGTGGGGTGCCCCCTGCACCAACGCCAGCTTCTCTTTTACTGGACTTCGTTAGGATGCACTGTGACCATTCCCGGTCCAAGACTCACATTGCACACCACAACCTCTGGGATGAAACAGGATCCATCTCCCTTAGCTGTAATGCTGAATCAGAGCTCCCACCCCCACCCACTCCCAACACCACCCATTTGGATCACCTCATCTAATTGGCTTAAGCTTGGGTGTAGTACTCTGCACTGAATAAATCCCTGTGGCCAGGGCCCATGTGTGTGGGGGGGGGTGGGGGGGCAGTCTATGGAGTGACTCCTACTGTCAGCATCCATGCCTTGACCTCTAGTGAGGTCAAGCCAAATGGTGCTGTTATTGGAAGAGAATGGAGATGGAGAAAAAGTTATATAGATGCCCAGGGTAGGAAACTCTGCCTGTCAGGTTTGTAGAACAGAGGGGCCTGGAAGATAAAGGAGCGTCCCAAGTAGAGAGGAACTTGATCACACAGTCGCGACTCTATAATAACAACAACAGCAACATCAACAGCAAAACAACAACAACAACCACAATAATAATATGAATACTGTGGCTATTGGCAGCTAATACCACCAACCTGTTTCTGTGTTCACCACCCGTTGTGGTGCCTCCCCTAGATCTCTAAGGCCGCTACTGTTCCCTCATTTCATGAGCAGAGAAACGAGATCTGTCATTTGCTCTAGGCACAGAGCTGGAAAGGGACAGAGCCACTGTTCAAATCCACAACAGGGTCAGGTGACGTGTCTGTAGACATCTGGCTGAGGGATCTTAGGCAAATTGTCTCAGCTGAGGAAACAGGCCTGAGAAGGGCTGGCGGGGGCTCAGCACACTTCCCCACCCGCTGCGTGGGAAAGGTGTATAAGGCGCCTGGAAGGCGTGTTGGGGTCGGCAGGGGCCCCTTGCCCTACCACTCCTCTGTCCATGCAGCCTCCAAGTACGCCAAGACGGAGTCGCTGACGCTGCGGGAGCGGCTGGCCCGCATCAACACGCACACCCTGTCCAAGAAAACCACGAGGCTGAGCCAGCTGCTGAAGCAGGAGGCGGGGTTGGTGTCGAGGGTGAGTGTGCGGGAGAGAGGTCCTGAATCAGCAAAACAGCGTTTCAGGGGCGTTCCTCCTGTATGTGGTGCCTGTATAGATGCCCCGTCAGAGTGCTCCTGCATGCGGCACCCAGGCAGATGCCCCTCTGTCTTTCTCTCCGTCTGTTTCACTCTCTCCCCTACCTTGCTCCTTTCCTCAGCCTTGGCCAGCCCAGAGCTAATGTGTTCTCTTGAGGGGTGGCTTCGGTCCTTTAGACCTTTCTGCCCTCCCGTAATGGCTGTGGTTGGCGAGCTCAGATCAAGTTGAGACAGCGTCTGGGAGCGCCAGCTTCGGGTGCCAGAGCATTTCAGCCCCTCGCAAGTCTCAGGAACCAGGGAAACCTGGATCTCAGCAGCAGGGGGGCAGGGGTGCGCATTCTGTCCTGGCCACATCCCCCAGGGGGAGACAGCGCAGGGGGCAAGCAGGCATCCTCCAGAGGGGAGGAGGTGATGAAGGTACGTAGGTCGAGGGGTCCTGTGACTCCCCAACATGGCATAGCTGCTCTCTGGGCCCCTTCTAAGTGCCAGGATGGGGCTTTCTCATTGCTGGGGATCAGGGAGCTCATCTCTGGCCTAGCAATCAGCCTCGAACAGCTACTGGCAACAACTCAGGATGTTTGTGGAACTGCTTAAAGCCAAACATTATTTATTTTAGTATTGAATTTTTAAAAATTGTGCATTTTGAGTCCACACCCTGCTGGGCTCAGGGCTCACTCCCGGAGGGACTCAGGGCTCACTCCCGGAGGGATGCCGGGGATTGAACCCAGGGCAGCTGCATACAAGGCAAGTACCCCGCCCACTGAACTGTCAATCTAGCCTCCCTCCCAAACATGATTTGATCCACACAATGAAGTAGGTATTCTTTTTCTGGGGAGCAGTTTTGGGCCTCACCTGGCTGTGCTCAGGAGCTCCTCCTGGCTCTGAGTGACCCCTGACAGTGCTCCCGGGACCGTATATGGAGCTGTGTATTGGCACCTGGGAGGGATATATATGTCACTTGCAAGGCGAGGGCCTTCGCCTTGTGCCCCCTGTCTGGTTCTGAAGCAGATATATTTATTTTTCACATTTGGGGGTGGGGGTGGGGAGGGAGTGGGCCACACTTGGCAGTGCTCAGAGTTTACTCCTGGCTCTGTGCTCAGGGATCACTCCTGGTGAGCTCAGGGGATCCTATGGGGTGCTGGGGGATGAACCTGAGTTGGTGGCATGCAAGGCAAATGCTCTACCCACTGTACGACTGCTCTGGCTCCCACTACTTACATTTTTAAAAACTAGAGGCCAAGCCCTGCAGTGCTGAGGGAAGCATGTGGTTCTGAGGACCCAACTCAGGACCTTGCTGCACGACAGGCTTGTACCGGGCCACTTGAGCTTCCTTCTTGGCTCTTTACAGTCCAGACTCAGGGAGGGTTGGACACTTGCCCAAGGTCCCCCAGCCAGGAAGCACACGGATCCAGACTCCAGTGCCCCTGCATCTACCTGACTCTGTGGTCTGTACCCAAATTGCTCTCCCTGCCTCCAGCTTTGAGCTGGGGGAACTGGCGTTGTGGGGGGGGGGGGGGGCTGAGGGGGCCTGTGGACAGGGGCCCCGGGGGAGCACTTGGGCTGCCAGTGCGGGACCGACACTGCCCTCGTGTGGCTATTCTTGGCCCTCACATGCAAAACTTTCAGACGGAAGACAAGGCATTTGATGAGTTAGAAGAGAAGTTCCAGTGGGTGTCGCTGTGTGTAAACGAGCTGAAGAGTAACGTGGCTGCTTACCTGGATAACCTGGAGGTGAGCATCCTGCGCCAACAGAGGGCAAGTGGGGTTGGGTTCCCGGGGTAGGAAGCACATGGGCTCCTTCGGTCCCTGGGTTCGCTGGGTAAGGAGCATGTGGGCAAGGGCAGCGTCATCCAAAGGCCCCCGATCAACATCCTCAGCCCACAGGATGTCTGACTGTGGCTGTTCTGGTCCTAGTGGGAGCCCAGGCTTCCTAGTGGGCAGATTCGGAATTCACTGGGGTCAGAGCCCTGCAGAGGGTGCCTGCCAGTCCAGCAGGGCACAGAGACTCGGTACCTACAAGGGGACAGCAGCTAAGGTCATTGGGTGCCACACTCAGGTCCACAAGCCCTTATGCCCTGGCGATGCAATTTTCATAAGCCACAGGCATAATGTTTGGAATTTAAATAACTACATGAACGACCGAGTGGATCCTGCTATTTAACTCAGAGAGTTCGTTGCCTTGTAGGGAAGTAAGTGCACACAGGAGATCCAGTTCTGAATTTAAGGGAAACAAAAGCCCTGAAATTTCAGACTTTTAGGTGAAATCTCATGATGCGTCCATGTGAGTAGCTAATTAAAAGCCAACATTTAAATGCTATGCAGGCCCAAGAAAATACATTTCTACCAACTGATTCAGCCCACGGGAACACCAGCTTCCATTCCTAGCCAGCACGGCTCTTTTCTTGCCAGCAGCCCCTTCGTTCTCGTCACGGGTGCTGACTCATACATTCCACTCTGTCCCTTTTAGGCGCCTTTTTTTTTTTTCTCAGTTACATCTATTTGTGCAAGCCAGCTGGGTCAGACTATAACGGGCTCTTGGAGAATGGGAGTTGGTGTGAAGTTATTGGAAGTCAGGAAAGGGAAGGAGGTCTTGATCTCGCCTCCTCTGTGAGGGGCCCTGGTCCATCCTGCCCCCTCTTTGCCCTCCACGGGGAGGGATTGGAACAGCACAGACAGCCAAAAGGAAAGGGAGGGTACTCGAAGCCATGGAATGAAAAAGAACAATGGGGCCTGGAGAGCACAGACAGAGGCACGAGAGAGACACAGCTGCCTCTGCAGGGGGGTGAGGGGGAAGGATGGTTATTTGGGCCCAGAGCCGTAGTACAGCGGGGAGGGCATTTGCCTCACATACAGTCAGCCTGGGTTCCATCCCTGGCATCCCACATGGTCCCCTGAGCACCTCCAGGAGTGATTCCTTAGCAGAACCAGGAGTAACCCATGAGCGTTTCTGGGTGTGACCCCCAAAACAAAACAAAAAAACCCAAAATATGAAGGACTGCATTTCCCTGGACACAGAATTATGCTAGAGATAAACTCTTGGCAAGGAATCCCACAATGAGAAAGGGACTCCCTCTCTTATTCCTCAGTCCTCGCTGACTCGTCTATAAGAGGACCCCAGGGGCCTTCAGCGTGCAGTGACATTCAGACTGAACTCAATCCTCTTGGTAGTTATTATAGCATTCTATTCTTTTTGTTTGTTTTTGTTTTTGCATCACACCCGTCATGCTCAGGGTTTACTCCTGACTTTGCCCTTAAGAATTACTGCTGGGGCTGGACTGAAGTGATAGCACAGCGGGTAGGAGTAGTTCCTGAGTGCATTAGCCAGGAGTAATCCCTGTGCATCACCAGGTGTGACACACACACACACACACACACACACAACACACACACAGAGACAAAGAATTATTCCTGGTTGTGGATTGAATACTGACTGACTGCCTGCAAGGCAAGTGCCCTGCCCACTGTACTATTGCTCAGCCCACATAGAAATGATTCTTACAGGCCTACTTAGAGCAGCCATTGCATGTCTCCCTTCTGGTAGTATTTGAAGGTACCCTCTTTTCTTCCCTTTCTTGCCACAATGGCCAGGTGAGTGGCAGTGCCCACCATGTCATGGAATTCACCAGGAGCTGTATATTAAATTATGAGGCTGGCACACAGACACACACACAGCCAGGGTGCTCATGCACAGTCTTATGGTGCTGCTTCCCAGAGTGTGCTCTGGGTCATACAGACACGTCACTTCCTGGCTCTGGTGCTTGTGCCTCTGTCTATAGTGGTGTTTGCTGGTGGTTCGCACCCTGTCAGCTGTGATGCTCCTGACTGCAGGATAGCTGGAAATGACAGCACGGGGATCCCAGACAGCAGAGATACTGGGCTAGCTGGTCACTCACGGGCTTAAACAGGAATGGTTAGTTGACTACACAGAATATGGACTTGGTGTGTGTGTGTGGGCGGGTGGTGGAGATCACAGCATGGTACGTGGATGTGTGAAGTTCAGAGAGCATCCATCGGGGGTGTGCAGAGCCAGAGCAACCTCTTCGAGGGGCAGTTGGTGCCGGACCAACACTGAAGGCTGTGACTGGCTGTCTCTCGTTTGCACGGTGCAGGCTTTCCTCCGCTTTCAGCCGCAGGACTACGCCCTGGACATGGCCAGCGGCCCCGTGGTGGAGTACTGCTGCCTGGCCAGAGACCTCCAGCTGCAGGCCTTTCCCGAGTTTGTGAGTGGCGCTTCCTCCTCCCGCCTTCATTGTCAGCACGTGGCCAAGCCTGTGATGGATCCTTTCCAGAGCCAGGGCTGCCCTGCCAATCGGCAGGGCAGATTATTATTAGTGGATCGCACTAATAAAAATAGCCCGGCTCCCGTTGATGGAGCTTCTCTCAGCCAGGCACTGCTGCGCTAAGCCCTTTACCGCGCATCGCCTCCTTTAATCCTCACCATGTGAGGGTAGTTACTATTAATAGCCCCATTCTGCAGATCAGGCTGGAGGCTCCCAAGGGCGTGACCTCCCAGTATTTCTACAGCTCACGGCCAAGTTTGGGGCCCCAAGCGCTGTGCCCACCGCACTTCCCACGCTCTGTGTACACTCGCACTGAAATGAGGTCTGCGTGCCTCTCCTGAAACTCTGATATGCTCGCCATAAGCATGGGTTCTGGAGTCAACATGAGCACACTGGGGACCAGGAACGTTAGATAAGAGACTAGAAGTGACAGCAGTGGGTGGGGGAAAGGCTGGCAGTGCCCAGGGCCTGCTCTCTGCCACCTCCAATCCCTGCTCCCCGGCTGCCCTCTGCCCACAGAAGCAGCGTCTGGAAGGCCTGGTGTGGAAGCCTCTGTGCAGCCTGGCCAAAGCCCTGACCGGCCCTCAGAACTTGATCAAGAAGCGCCTGGACAAACTGCTGGACTTCGAGCGGGTGGAAGAGAAGCTGTTAGAAGTGGGGAGTGTGACCTATGAGGAGGACGCAGCTCGGCACACGTACCAGGCGCTCAACTCCCTGCTGGTGGCTGAGCTCCCCCAGTTTAACCAGCTGGCCCTGCAGTGGCTGGGCCACATCCTACGAACTTTTGTGGCACTCCAGGGGGACCTGGTGAAGCAGGTGCTGGAGAAGGCAGAAGGCAGCGCGGCCCAGGTAAAGCCCCACTCCCGCCCCGGTAGTGGGATCCTCTGCTCCCTGACAGAGCATCACAGGCCTGGAGGCAGAGAGGAGAGGTGGGCCTCCAAGCATGCCATCTCCTGCCGTGAATGGGATCAGACCAGGAAAGCGAGGCCAGAACTGGGCCTCCAGGCCCCAGGACCCAGAGCAAAGAAGGCTCTGTTACTGTGGAAAATTATCCCCCAGCAAGCTGTGTTCTGCCTTGCAAGTGTAAACAAAGCTTTGGGATTGGAGATCGCGCTTAGGCAGAGACCGATCCGCGGGGTGAGTGTGTGCAGTGCATGTGGCAGGCCTAGGTTTGCTCTCCAACATTGCACAGGTCCCCAAGCACTGCTGGGAGTCACCTCCCAGCTCAGAGCTAGGAGCAAACACTGCACATCACAGATGTGACCCATTACCCTCTCTTCCGGAAGGAAGGAAGGAAGGACGGGAGGAAGGAAGGGAGGGAAGAAAGGAAAGGAAAGGAAAGGAAAGGAGGGAAGAAAAGAAGGAAGGAAGGAAGGAAAGAAGAAAGAAAGAAAGAAAGAAAGAAAGAAAGAAAGAAAGAAAGAAAATTTTATTTGGAGGTCTTCAAATGCAGGAGTTACAGATTCAGGCGATGTAGGTGCTGGGATGTAGGGGAAAAAATAGAGCTCCAAAAGGTAGAACTCCCTCCTGCAGGCGGAACAATCAGATTATTTCAAGGAGGAAGTAAAGTATGTGGAAGAACGGGATGCCTGCCTGTCCGTCCTGTGATAGATTGTCCCAATTGGAACCCAAGTCAGATAACGTTTGCCTGTTTCCCCGTGAAGTCGGCCAGCATTCCTCTAAATGCCCCAACTGGCAAGATGCTAACTTAAGGAGGGTGGTGTGTGTGATTGCCAAACGGGTCCCTAAGGGTCAGGTGTGGAAGCAGGTATGAATGCCCGTGCCCAAAGAGCAGCTCACTCCATTCCGGGTGCCGGATCCATCCATCCGTCAGTTCTCATTCCCCGAGTCCTGGGTCATCTCTACTCAGGGAAACAGCTGGCTTGCAGCCAGTCCTTGGAATATATTGGAAGTTGGTGACTGATCCCAAGTCCCATCTACACAATAAGGGTTAAGTCCCTCCAACGGGTGTTTCTGTTACTTTTCCTCTTTCTGGAGTCTGAGTATTTACCACGTGCCTATCCAGAAGAGCTGCTTGCTCGCATGATGCCAGCCAACCCTCAGAAGAGCCCCGAAGAGGTGTCACTACTAATGAGCTCGGGGCCACACGTAACAGTATTGGAGGCTACTCCTGGCTCTTAGGTCCTGAGTTTTGGAACGTTCCAGACTGGGGTTGATGTAGGAAAGAGTCCTGCATTGTGCTGGAGCTGAGCAAGTGGGTGACCTCGGAGGACGCCGCCAGGCTGAGAGTCTTGTCCGTTCTGTGCTGGCTCCTGTGCTCTGTGCTCCCCCCGATCAACTTTCCCCGCCCAGTGGCTGCAAGGGAAAATCCTGGAAGAGTTGCTCTCTGCTGCCTGTTCCTTTCCACACCCGTGTCCCTTCCCTCCCACCTCTGCTTGTCTTCTTTTTAAAAATTTATTGTAATTCATTTATTTATTGAAATTGAATCACCGTGAGATACAGAGTCATAAAGCCCTGATCATGGTTGGGTTTCAATCATATGGTATTCCAACACCCGTCCCTCCGCCAGTGTACAGGTCCTACCACCAATGTCCCCAGTTTCCCTCTCGCCACCTTCCCACAACAGGATAACCTCTCAGTGTCTGCACTGCAAACCATAATGCCCCAAAGGGATGAGGGTGGGGGAGAGAGAGAGACAGAGACAGAGTGACAAAGAGACAGAGACAGAGAGAGAGAGAGAGAGAGAGAGAGAGAGAGACAGAGAGAGAGACAGAGAGACAGAGGGACCAGAAAGAGAGACAGAGACAGAGAGAGGGATAGACAGAGACAGACAGAGACAGAGACACAGAGAGACAGAAAAGAGACAGAGAGAGAGAAAAAGAGAGGAGAGGTGCTTCCTTAAAGGAGGCAGGAGGCAGAAGGAAACTGTAGCTGAGATGACCCCCCAGGCTAGCGTGTGTCCTGCCTTCTGAGAAAGGCCTGACTGGCAGTGTCTGTGCCCTCCCAGCTGCCGCACTACCTTGTCTCTGACCTGGACTTCAGGCAGCTGCTGGAGGATACACTAGGCCAGGCGGGAAACCAGCTTCGTTCCTTTCAAGAGAACTTCGAGAAAGTGCTGCCACCTGCCACCATACAAGTAAGTGCTCCTGTCCCTGAGGCTCCCTGCCAGTGGGCTCAGCTCCCCCCTGCCCCCCCGTTGCCCTTCTCCCTGCCCCCCTGTTTCCTGCTACCCATGAAATTGCTTTTTCTGCTCTCTTTTCTTTCTGGGAGCAAGGATGGTGTATGGTGTGTGTGTGTGTGTGTGTGTGTGTGTGTGTGTGTGTGTGTGTGTTTTCACAAGTTCTTATGGCCAGGAGCCATAAGAGAGAAAAGATCTTGGTTCTAAAATAAGAAAACTTGGGACTGGAGCAATAGCACAGCGGGTAGGGCGTTTGCCTTGCACCGTGGCTGACCCAAGTTCGATTCCCAGCATCCCATAGGGTCCCCGGAGCATGCCAGGAATGATTCCTGAGTGCAAAGCCAGGAGTAACTCCTGAGCATCACCGGGTGTGACCCAAAAAGCAAAAAAAAAAAAAAAGAAAGAAAGAAAACTTAAACTTTTTTTTTTTTTCTGGATGGGGGCTGACCTCCCAAATAGTCTTCAGGAGGCCGAGGGGCCTTTTCTTGTTGATTCTCACCAGCTGGGCCTGTGTGTGGCTCAAAGCTCGGCCCTGAGGTGTGGGGGATTACTGGCAGTGCTCAGGGCCCTCCAGGGGGCTGCACTAGGTGATACTTGGGGAACTATGAGGTGCAGGGGATCAAACCTGAACTGGCTGCGTACAAAGCATACACTTTAATCTCTATACTAGCTCTCTGGTCCCCAAACAGTTTTTTGGTCAATTTGATTTTCACAGCGGTAAGGGCGTTTGCCTTGCGTGCAGCCGACCCGGCCGAGCCGGGTTCAATTTCTCCGCCCTTCTCGGAGAGCCTGGCAAGCTACCGAGAGTATCTCGCCGGCACGGCAAAGCCTGGAAAGCTACCCGTGATGTATTCAATATGCCAAACACAGTAACAACAAGTCTCAAAATGAAGACGTTACTGGGCCCGCTTGAGCAAATCAATGAACAACGGGAGGACAGTGTTTGTTTGTTTGTTTGTTTGATTTTGGGGCCACACCCAGTGATGCTCAGGAGTTACTCCTGGCTCTGTGCTCAGAGATCATTCCTGGCAGTGCCAGGGGCGCATAGGGGGTGCTGGGATGGAAACTGAGTCAATTGTGTGCTAGACAAACCCCTACCCTCTGTATTCGCTCTGGTCCTAGACTTTACTAGAAAGCCAAATGACATCAGAAAATGTGCAACTTTTTCCTTTTTTTTTTCCATCAGAATTTACCCTATTTCCTCAACTGACTTCTTTCAGTAGTTGCATGCAAGATGAACAGTCTGAATAAGAATTTATCTAGGTTTTCTTTGTGCAATGGATTTTTTTTTTCAATTGCAAGAAACAGTATTTCAGCAACATTACGGTTCACAAAGCTTTGCTGGCCAAAAGCTCTTTTTGGTAAAGAACTTTTCTCTGCTGTCCAGGACAGCCTGACTTCTAGTCCATGCGGGTCTATTCCTAGAGAGAATGTGATTTGTATGTAGCTGCAGACAGGTCTGAGAAACTGAAAACTGTTATTTGCTGTGAGACTGCAGGGAAGGGCCAGGAGATCACTGCACAGTCCACAGAAGGGGGTGGGGGGCCTGGGACAGAGAGAATGAAGGAATCAGTGGGCTTCCCTCCAAGCCCATCATTCCTGCTGTGGGTGGGGAAAGGCAGACTCCAACTCACACCCCAAACACACCCCTCACTGACACTTGGGGGCCGGGGCTGTGGGGGACCTTGTCTCTTGGGTGCTGAAATAAGGAGCAGGAGCCCTCAGAAGGGGGCCTCCTTTCTCCTTCTTCAAAACACATAAACAGCTTTCTTGTAGGAGAAGCAAGCCCTACTTCTTTGAGAAACCAGAAGGTGTAGAAAAAACAAAATAAAAGAAAGAAATGGAAACATCCTCATTTCAGTATGTGTTTCAGATTGGTTGCAAGAGATTCTCCCTTTCCTGCACTCTCCTCACCTACTCACACACACATACACACACAGAGAGACACACACACTCACAGATGTAGACAAACATACACTCTGCAGAAATACACACAAACACAGACACAAAGATTCAGAGATACACATACAGACACAGAGACAGACAGAAACACAGACGCAGAAATACACAAATGCAGAGAGACACCCAGATGCAGCGAGACACACAAATACAGAGATTCATACAGCGCCGGAGACACACATTGATGCAGAGATACACACAGAGATGCAGATACACATACGTATATAGGGAGAAACTCAGATGCTGGGACACACACACATACAGACCTAGACAGACACACACAGATGCAGAGTAACACACAGAGAGACACATAGACACAGACACACACACACACAGACGTTCACACCCTCTCCTGGACAGGAGCTGTCCTAGATTAGCCTGCTCCCTCTTCCATACACCTTGCAGCTTGTGGGCCACCAACTCAGGGCCACTCCTATCCTGCCATTGGGCTCCCCTGTGCCAGCCCTATGCTAGCTGGGATGCCAATGCAGGCAGCCTGGAGCATGTGTGATGCCCACCGAAGAGGCTGGCATACAGTCCTGTGCCGTCACTTCGCTCCGTGTCATGGGCACAAGGTGGGGCTTGACCCTGAAGTTCTCTGAGTTATTCCAGAGAAGTTTAGGCCTGGGAGAGGTCTCAGCGGTTCCGCCGAAAGTTTCTCCAGAAATGCCTTAGTGTGCTGAGAGCCTGTGTGTGTATCTTTGGGCCCTGCACTTCTGGCGGGCCAGGGCGTGTTTGGGCTGGGGCAGACTCCTGACTCTTCACACCCTGTGTTTGTCTGTCTGTCTGTCCCCACCTAGCCTCTCCCACCAGGCACCGAGCGCCTGATGCAGGCTCTTCTGAGCAGGTACGGCCCCGGGAAGCTGTACCAGCTGACAGGCAACGTCAGCGGGACGGGACCCATGGACCTGACACTACTGCAGGGGCAAGTCGTGGCCCTCCTTCAAAACAGGGATACCAAAGGCAACAGCAGCCGCTGGCTGGTGGACACCGGGGGTAGGTGCGCTTGGCCCCTCCCCTACTCCATCTGGGAAAAGCACCAGTAGTAGCCCATGCTGGGATGGGGATATTGCCGGGCTGGGCTGGCTGTACCACAGAGTGAAAATGCAGGGTCCTGTGTGGTGCGTGGTCAAAGAACTCCCTCAGCTTTGCTGCTGCACACGGGGCGTGCGGAGAGGATGGGACCCCGCCGGGGGCCTCGCAGAGCCCTGAGGTAGGCGGAGCTGGATGGAGGGAACCCCAGCCTTCCTCTGAACACTGGGAAGCCTGGGTCCAGATTGAGAGCAGATGTGTGGGAGTTCAGGTCAGAGCAGTGCATTCCCTGTCCCCCTGAGCTGTTGAGGCCCTTAGCGAGTACTCGATCACTGTGCCCAGGGTGAACAGGCAAGCTGGCCAGAGACCAGTGACATCAAGCGCTCCCGGGGAAGTGGCCCACTGGATCTTCCAAAGTAGGGTACATGATCCACAAGAGGAGGGCTATGTGAGGCTATTGGAAGGGGGTCTAAGGCAGTTTTCTCCATTAGGACAGTTTTGTCATTTAAGTATCTTCATTTGTTTTTGTTTTGACGTGTGTTTGAGGGGAGTTTGTTTTAGGACACACCCAGTGATGCTCAGGGCTTACTCCTATCTCTGTACTCAGGGGACTGTACATGGTGCTGGGGATGGCTGTGTGCCAGGCATGGGGTCTTAACCTCAGTACTGTCTTTCCAACCTGCTTAGTATCTGAATTTGCTTATCTTGGGCCTGTATGATAGCTCAAAGGGTTGGAGTTCAAGCCTGGCAGGAGTAACGCCTTGAATTCAATCTCCAGCACCAGGTGGGGTCCCTAAGCACTGCCATAGCCCTGTTAGCCATCAGCATATCAGCATGACTGGACCTGAGCAAAAACACGTTACTGGGTCCAAGCACTCAACACAGCTGGGTTAAGTATTGTGAGGAACTGACCCCGAGTGCCCTAGTATGGGAGGCCCTCCATATATATATGGGGGGCCATGCCAGAGCAATAGCATAGCAGGTAGGGTATTTGCCTTGCACATGGCCGACCTGGGTTTGATTCTTCCACTCCTCTTGGAGAGCCCAGCAAGCTACCGAGAGTATTCTGCCCGCACCGCAAAGCCTGAAAAGCTCCCCATGACATATTCGATATGCCAAATACAGTAACAAGTCTCACAATGGAGACGTTACTGGTGCCCGCTCAAGCAAATCGATGAACAATGGAAGGACAGTGCTACGGTGTTTTATATATATATATATATATATATATATATATATATATATACACATATACATATATATATACCGCACAATTCTTTTTATTCATGTTATTGTAATAGTACAAGAATGTTTTAAAAAGTGAGTTGATAGTGCTGAAAGGATAGTGCACTGAGTAGGGCATTTACCTAACATGCACACAACCCAAATACCATCCCTAGAACCACGTGGTGCCCTGAGCATCACTGAGTCCAGTCCTAGAGGCCCCTAAGCACCTCCAGGGGCCCCTGGGTAATCCCAGCCACTGCAGCACCACATCCTCAGGCCCTTGCACTGGCCAGAAGTTGCTGGTGGGGATCTCCTGAGTATTAATTGGGAGGATCCCCTGAAACAGAAAAGAAAATGCCTTGATTTAAAAAAAATTAAGATAATAGCACACATGGGGATAAAATCAGAAAAGAACTTTGTGACTCAGGTTGAAAGCAGCTAAGTGGGATTCAAGCCCGGGCTGGGGGCTGGGGGCCAGGGGCCCAGATTACAGCTCAGTCCCTGCTGCCAACTGCAGGTCCTCAGAGAAGAACATCAGAGTTTGGTTCAGCGCTGAAACGGAGGCAGCAGAAAATCAAAGGGAGGCTAGAAAATCAAATGGAGCCCTGATACCTGGCCAGCTCCGGGATTGCAGCAGCTGGTCCTAGGGCATGACTGACAGCACAGAGCAGATACAGCCTGAGAAGGGCCTGGGGCCCTGGAGGAGGAGAAGGGCCCTTTCTTCCCTTCTTTGCTTAGCGTCCACACCGTCCCTGCGCCCCACACTCAGGCTGTCCTGGGAAGGGCAGCAACATGCTCTGGTCTGCCCAAGGGAGAGGGGTGATGGATAGAGCAGGGCCACCAGCCTTTGGGAGCAGTTTTGATTCCACTCTCATGAAGAACCTTTGATGTGTCAGAGCAGTTGTGGGTGGGTGTGCTGCCCCTGTGGGGTGGACATTTGTCCTGGGGTACACAGACAAGATGGACAGTGGGGTGACTTGCTGAGCTCCCCGATGGCCTTTTGGGCCCTGGTAATGGAGATGCTCGTCTGGGACACTCACCTCTGTGGGTTTCTTTTTCCATGGAAAGAGGTAACGGAAATGGCTCGTGTCAGATAACATCCCACCTGTCTCTAGGCCATCGAGGCTATGTGCCTGCCAGGAAGCTGGAGCCATACCAGGCAGTTCCCAGAGAGGAGGAGAGAGGCGGGCTTCCTGATGACACCCGATGTCTCACACCAGAGCCTGCTCCAGCTCCCACACCTGCTGTCCCTGTCACCTCTGGGCCCATCCCCACTGTCCCCACCATGACCCAGGTGAGTCTGGAGAGGGGTGGGTCCCATCTCCCCAGGGATTCTGGACAGGACTTTGATTTTCCTCCCATCTGGTGAGACCTGCACCCTCTGAGCCAGAGCCATGGTTGTGGCTATATCAGTGTCAAGGTTGTAGGAGGGGACAGAGGAAGGAGCCACCACCACTGCCACATTGACAAAAGAGTGAGCACTTTGTTCCCAAGAGTAGGGAAAGTGGAGTCATTCCATCCATCCATTCATCTACCCACCCACCCATCCACCCACCCCTCCATCCATCTACCCCCATCTACCCACCCCCATTCTTTCACCCATCCAGCCATCTATCCATCCCTCCACCCATGCAACCATCCATCCATCTACTTATTCACCCACCCATCTATCTATTCATTTTTGTCTATCCATCCATACATCCAACAGTCTATCCGTCTATCTATCCACCCATCCAACCATCCATCTACCCATGCATCCAATTATTCATCCATCCATAACCCACCCACCCACCCATCCATTTATTCATCCAACCATCCACCTACCCACCCACCCATCTGTCCATCCATCTATCCAACCATCCACCCATCCATCCATCTATCCATCTATCCATCTGTCCGTCCGTCCGTCCATCCATCCACCCACCCATTCACCCATCTACTCATCTAGCCGTCCGTTCTTAAACCACAAGCAAATCTTGATTCCTGCCCTCCTTTCATTTATAATCAGGGCTGGAGAAACAGTCATTAATGAATTGCCATGTTGAATTTGTAACATTAAAGTGTGATAAGTGCCTGAGCTCTGGCAGTGGGGAGGTTCAGGAAAGAGCTTTCTGGAAAAAGGCTGCTGATTCTCAGTTCTGAAATGTGAGATGTTCTCTGGATAAAGGGGGTGTGTTGGGGTATGGAGAGGGAGGTGCTCCCCCCGACTGGGAGAACCCAAATGTGTGTTCAGTCGGTCACCTGTGAAGGGTCAGGAGATAGCTCCCAGAATCCTCAGAGAATCTGGGAGCTGGAAATAGGACAGGACTATGAGAACAGGACCTATCCATGTAGCCAAGCAAGGGGCTCCGGGGGTGACCTGGAGGGGGGAAACATGAATGTCAAAGCAGCACTAATGCGTCAGAGCCCCACAGAAGAGGCGATGCAGAGATCTATCATCAGAGGAGCAGAAAGCAGTGCCATATCCACGAACTACACGACTCTGCCCAGACAAAGGGACAGGCCACAGTCAGGGCTCCCCTGAGATTTCCTGTCCAGGCAAATGAAGTGCATCTGGAGACAGTGGCTGGCAGGTGCCAGGGGAAGTGGAAAGGTGTGACAACTAGCTCATGGGAAACCATGAAGATGTTCTGGGTCCGATTGTGATGATGGCTGGCACAACCGTGCAGATATAGGAATGGTGGTGGCCTAGCTGTGGCCATTTGCATAGGTGTGTGCAGTGGTTTGTGAAGTGAATCTTAAAAAGGTCAAGGACAGGGCGGGCAGTGGAGGGTTGGCAGGGCAGGGGTGGGGCGCTGGTGTGTGGCTGGCAAGGGTATCTGTGGGGCAGAGAAGTCACAGGATGGTCCATGGAGGCTGTGCCCACTGGGATCCACCGCTTGAAGGGACCACACCAATGGCCAAGGAGCCACAGAAGATCCAAGGCGAGGGATGCTGCGAGCCACTGGGATCAGTGTCCAGGGAAGAATCAGGGATGACTGGGCTGGGGAGAGGACCTCAAGTATGGCTACAGTGATGCCTATGGAATCCATCTGTGGCCTTCCAGCACAGCCCTCAGCCAGCGTGCTAGGACTGCCTCTTCCGGACAGCCCCACCATCCAGACTAGACCCACAAGAACCCCAGCAGAAGCAGGGCACAGCCCCTGCCCCCTGAGCAAGGAGTGAGTTTGCCTCTGGCCCCAGCTAGGGCAGACTGGGGAGGTGAGGGGGTCTTTGTGACCTCACCCCGCAGCTCCCACTCAGACTACCCCCCATTTCCTCCTGGCTGTTCAAGGAGCTCAGATGGACGCGTCCTAGTGCTCCTGGCCTGCTTGGTCCAGAGGGGCAGCAGGAAGTGTGAGAAAAGCACCACTGGGCCCCATTTCACCAAGTCCCCTCAGTTCCCCCCCCCAGGGGATGCTTTCTTCCTGCCATTTGGTAGGTGCTGAAGCAGAAGAAATGTTCTTCCTCCCCACCGACATGTTCTACAGGCCAATCAGTGCCTTTCTCTGAAAGGGGATCCTGTTCCTCCCACACACATCCTCTCTCTTCCAAGCTCCACTTCTGGTCTGGGGAGGAAGTGGGGGTTTACTGATCACTGCGCAGCCCCACGGCAGCTACACAGCTTGGGCGCCCCCGTTTGAGGCCAGGATGGCCCCTGTCTCTGCCATGTGGCGGGGTCACTTCTCTGCCTTCTCCGTGCCTCAGTGTCCTTGTCTGGAAGTGGGGCAGGTTGCCCAGCGGTGACTGAGGAGCAGGATGCCAGCCTCCTGACCTGTGGGGTTCCCCCCACCCTTTGTGTTTCAGGTGGTGGTGGCGTACCCCTTTGTGGCCAGAAGCAGCCATGAAGTGAGTCTGCAGGCTGGCCAGCTGGTGACCGTCGTGGAGGCCCAGGACAAGAAGGGGAACCCAGAATGGAGCCTGGTGGAGGTGGATGGGCGGCGGGGCTATGTGCCCTCTGGCTTCCTGGTCCGGGACCTGAGCCCGGCACCCTGGGGCTGGAGTCTCCCCAATTAGTCTCCCCTCACAGCCAAGTATCCCAGGAGTCTGTGAGGTGGTGGTGGCCCTGGGAAGGGCCTGGCCGGTGAGGATTCTGTTCTGACCTGTGTGCTCCCAGGCATGGCTGGCACCGGGGTTCCCTGTGAACTGTGTGCTGTGTGGTCACCGGAGGGACCCACCGACAGTTCCCATCCCACTGAAGTTGGTATAGGGGCCCTAGGTCCTCTCCGTCACCTCCATCTCTCTTTGATCAGACAGTGATCCCTGGAATCCTCCCCTGGGAAAACCTGACCTCGGGACAGCAGGGAGTTCCCAGGACACCGTTGGCTCGGCCAGAGAGTGGGTGGGATCCAGTCATAGTTCTAGAATGTGTGGAGGCATATCGGAGGCAGTTCCAGGGAAGCGGGACTTGGAGGGGTGCCACCCGGGGGGGGGGGGTCATGCTCCAGGCACGGCTTCTGCTGCTGTCTGTGCAACAGGCACAAACGGGCCTGGGAATACGGGGGAGGGCTGGGAAGCAGGTGATGTCAGAGGCCTGGTGGGTGGGAGCTGAGGTAACGGCTGGGCGTCCTGCTCCCCCAAGGGGAGTCACGGGACTTTCTGAGGTTTTCCGGAGGACACCAGGGCCTTAAGGCATCAGTGGGTGTGGTGTCAGGGCTGTGGGGGCTCGGGCATAGGCTGCAGCTTGGGCTGCCCATGCAGACAGGCCTGATTCTAGGCTGTGCAGAGGGATGGGACGCTGGCACTGTGAGGGCTCTTAGGTTAGTGGACACTGCTCTCAGCGTGGTCCCTGGCACCAGCTGGCAGATGGTAGGTTGGCACTGTTAGGCCAGGCCCAGGCTCATTGATCGGCAGGCAGACACTGGGCAGACACACTGCAGGCACACACTGGGCAGACACACTGTAGGTACACGCCGGGCAGACACACTGTAGGTACACACCGGGCAGACACACTGTAGGCACACACTGGACAGAAACATTTCAGGCAGTCACTGGGCGGACACACTGCAGGCACACACTAGACAGACACACTGCAGGCAGACACTGGACAGACACACTGCAGGCACACACTGGGCAGACACACTGTAGGTACACACTGGGCAGACACACTGTAGGCACACATTGGGCAGACACACTGCAGGCAGTCACTGGGCGGACACACTGCAGGCACACACTAGACAGAGACAGACACACTGCAGGCACACACTGGGTAGACACTGCAGGCAGACACTTGGGTAATGTGGGCAGACAGACACTGGGCAGACATGACAGACAGACATTGAGGACAGACACACTGCGGCACACACTGCGGATCACTGCCTGGTCCTTCCTGGCCCCAGCCCCAACTGGCAGAAAGTCTCTGCTCAAGTTAAAACTCCTGCCACCCTGTTCCAGTGTCAGGAAGCCCAAACCCCTCAAAGTAGTTCATGTTCAAGGGAGTCCCACTTCCCCCCAGATGGGGCAGAAAGAAGGGAGGTCCCTGTGATGGGCTCCTCCAGGTGGTCCTTGGGGCGGAGCAAAATCCCAAGACTCAGTGTGCAAAACAGCTCAGTGTAAGGTCCCATGCAGGCGAGTGATGGTGGAGTCAGCCCGAGCCTGAGTGTATTTAGGGACAGGTTGGCGGTTTAGAGTCATGTCCAGGAACATTCCAAGGCAGTGCTTAGAGATGTCAGCTGCCGTTCAGAGGGCTTCGAGGAGGTATGTGCATGGGTGTCCTGTCTGTGACTTAACCCTGCTGGGCGGTAGATGCCAGAGGCCACACAATGCCTAGAGACCAGCTACCAGGCGACTCAACACAATGTACTTTCCCGCTCAGAGCTCTGATACAAGTGGGAACTGAGGAAAGCAAGAGCAAAGCAAAGTGGGGCACTTGTGGGTTCTTACCCCCTACACCAGACCCAGCTGCAGTCATGTCCGAGACCAGGTCCCACCTCGGATTCGGGTGCAGTTCACCTTGGGGCTGTGGCCTCCGAACTCAGAAAGTTCCCCGGGCCCCTCTGGTGTGGTTAGGGTTGGGGACCTCTGCTGCGCCCTCAGGGCTGACGATGAACCCTGGGAAGGGCCCCAGCTTGTGCTGTCTGAGCCCGGCATCAGATCCCAGGCTTCCAATGGCAGCTTTCAGGGAGGGTTGAAGAGGGCACCCTGCCCTGTCAGGTCCCAGAATATCTCTTTAGTGAGTGCCATTAAGCGGGACCTGAGCACCGTTGGATGCTGGTGCTGGCCAAAGGGAGACTGGGAAATGTGCTTGGAATCTGATCTCTCTCGTGAAGGAAAGACAAGAACGTCTGCAGTGGGGGTGAGGCGCACGCTGCTAGAATGTGAGCTGCCTGTCACGCAGGTGGAGAAGGGCTCGCGTTTTCTCCCAGGGATGCCGGAATGTGCCTTCCCCATGTTGCATTGCACTGTGGAACTGAGGCGCTGGTTCTCTGCTTGCCTGAGAACCGCACCGAACTCAGGGAGCACTGCTGGCCGCCAGTGCCTCTCACCTCCCTGCCGAGGGTCGATGCCTGAATCCTGAGTGACCTGATGAGCTCTTGTGAGGCTGCAGCTACACTGTGGGGAATAAAGGACTCGCAGGATGCAACCGTGTTGGGTTTTGTGTGACTCTAACCCGTGTCTCGGATAACCCAGGGTGGTGCTTGTTTAGTAGACATTTGCTCTAGCCAGAACAGCACCTTCTCAGTCTCCGTTCACTGTGTCAGCTGCAACTTTGATTTTTCCTAGGAGTTAGCTGCTGGCGACACAGTGCACACAGGCCCTATTAGGAGAGTGAAGAACCAGTAATGGTAGAACACAGGAAAGGGCTGGCCCCTGACTCAGCATTGGCAGTCAAGACCAGCTTCCTGGAGGTAGTGGTTGAGGGGAGGGCACATGCAAAGTTCAGAGCAAGCACCTAAAACATAGTTCATAGGCTGTGCCTTGGGGTGAGAGGTCAGCATGGCCAAGAGCGTTGGGCTTTGTTCTGAGGGCCTGGGCACGGGCACTGAAGGATTTGAAACAGGCGTGGCTCAGCCGTGGTCATGTTTAGGTAAGTCGGGACTCTTCCAGGTACCTGTCAGGAGTAAGGGAGCTTGGGACCTATCATTGACAGACATCCCCAGGGGGTCAGGGACAGGATGTCTCCTCCAGGGCTGGTCTCAGCCACCTGGGGGAACGAGATGTCCTCATGCTGGCTAGTTTCCTGTCACCTGAAGGCGCTTTGGCCCGGCCCACTATGTGCTGTTGGGCAGCTCTGGGGAGGGGAGGGGCTCCCAGACAGGTGGGGGCCCTGTGGGACTGCAGGGTCAGGGGGAATCAGAGGAAGAGGCGTTGGGGGCGGGGCAAGGGTGGTTCTCTAGGCTTGCTTGGCCACGGGCTAGTGCAGGTGCACTTGTCATGGTTTCCAGGGCCCTGGCCTGCCCACTCCTCTCCACATGAATCCCACTGTCCTTCGGGTGTCCAAGCTCCCGCTCCCGGGGCAAGACCTTATCCGGGATCTGAAAAGCCCAGGAAAATAGCTGGATTCCTTGCTCATTTTTGTTACTGGCAATTTTTGAGCTTTTCTGTTTTTTCATCTGTAAAGTGGGTGCAATGCCTGTTCCCCCATGCAGGGGGAGGTGTGAATGAAACAACCAAGGTTGGTCCTCAGCTGTGCTGTGGGGAGGTGTGCGCATGACCACCAGGTGGCGCCAGGGCTCCGCAGTGGCTGAGGGAGGGCAGACAGGAGAGCGGGACCAGGGGAGAGGGAGGGTGTGAGTGAGTGAGTGTGTGTGTGTGTGTGTGTGTGTGTGTGTGTGTGTGAGAGAGTGTGTGAATGAGAGTGAGTGTGTGTATGTGTGTGTGTGTAGTATGTGTTAATGTGTATGTGAGTGAATGTGAGTGAGTACAAATGTGTGTATGTGTGTTTGTGTATGTACTGAGTGTGAGTGTGTGTGTTAATGTGTATGTGAGTGTGTGTGTGCGAGTGTGCGTGTATGTGAGTGTGTGTGTACTATGTGAGTGTGTGAGTGTGAGTGTTAGTGTGTGTGAATGTGTGTAAGTGTGTGAGTGTGTGAGTGTGTGTGAGTGTGTGTGTGTGTGAGTGTGTGTAAGCAAAGGACAGAGGTCCTGCTGGAAGGTGCCGGTGGCTGTAGGGCCTGCAGGTGCACTGTCTAAAGGAGCAAGGAATGGAGCCTCTGAATGGTACCAGGCATTTCCAGTTTCCAAGAAAAGGCAGAAGTCAGGGTCCCATTGATTTGTTATGTGCAATCTTCTGTGAGAAGTTTGCACAGGTCACAGCAGGACCCCCTTGGTGCCTTCTGCCTGCCTGCAGGTGGGCAGTGCTGAGCGGAGAATCTCCTGGGCAGAATCAGTTCCAGCCTCTGTTTCCTGTGCAGTGCCTCCAACATCTGCCCTCGAGGTCGCTCTGGCATTCGCTTCCTTTCTTTATTATCTGACAGCACAACTTTCTCTCAGGCCCCTGATGCCATTGTTTCCTTCACGCTTTTATTAGTGTGGGGTCTTCATTCCTGCCTGTAAGGGTTCTTTTAAAAAAAAGTGTGTGTGTGTGTGTGTGTGTGTGTGTGTGTGTGTGTGTGTGGTGTGATTTTTGAGTCACACCCAGTGGTACTCAGGAATTACTCTGGCTCTGCTTGGGGGCTGTATGAGATGCCGCGGAGCAGACTAGGGTGGGCTGCCTGCAAGGCAAGGGCCCTCTCCACTGAATTATTTCTCTGAGTTTTTTTCCCATTTTCTCACTCTTTCCCTTCGCTGTTGCTGGTGGTGTGATCACTTGGGGCTGCGGAGTCCGACTAGGGGGCTTTCCAGAGCTTAGACCCTTACTTGTGGCTCCAGGTCAGGCCCTGGGGCATGCCAGGCCACGTGCCCACTTGTCTTTGAGGTGGAATGTTTCCTGGCCAGGCTCCCAGCTGCCAGGATGGTGCTGGGCACGGTGGATCATCAGGATCCCAGCCCCTGACTCAGCACCTATTTCCCCACGGCCTTAGGGAGCTCTTCTGAGTCCTGGAACAGAATTACTTAGCCCCAAAAAGAGAAATAAAAAG